TAATAATAACATGTATGACCTTAATCACAATGAATCATATACTTCCTCTGTCTCAAATTAGTTGCTACATTTGAGTATTGATTATTGATACTGAAGACTTATACTGATACTGAAGACTCATACTGAATACTGTTGCACATTTTCCAGAGATTTCAGGGTGCTACGTTATCAATCAACAACTTTACTTACCAAGCATTCCTTCGTTATATCAGTACCAAATTAAGTTCAAAAATCCAGCTTTTCCACACCCTTAAGTCACGTGCCACGTCCCATTTTGTAAGGACTCTTCCATCAGTAATCGCATAAAATCTTCAGGCTAATTAAATGTAAATTCAATGATTTCCCTCGTGTATACGAGCCAGTTTGCCTCAGAAATTTTTCCACGAAGGCATCCTTCACCTTAAGCAGACAGCCCTTGAGTCTTTGCCTTAATCACATAAACACGATCTTTCTGAAATACGGGCGGTATAGTCCTTACAAAATGGGGCGTTGCTTAACAGCTGCGAACCCTCTACATTTGCGTCTATAAAATTGTCCCAAAATAAGTGCTACATTTGTGGAAAGTAAAAATTGAGAATAAAAATGTAGTATGCAGCGTTACATTACTTGAAACAGATTGTGTAATTTTACTGATGTTGAACTACTAAACTGCATCGAAGGTTATTTTGACTCCACCTACTTGAAATGTAGTAAATAATTTGGGAGAAAACTTTTGACCTAAGTGTAGCAACTAGTTTTGGACGGAGGGAATATAAAATTTTGCGACTGCTAGTGTTGAATACCAAGTATTTCAATATCATTGACAGCATATTTTAAAAAATAAAGCCTTATTCCCTAAAACAAAAAAGTCTCTCCTCTATTAATTACATATGTTATATATATGGATTCCACATGAATCTGTATTACTTCAAGTGCAGCCCACAAAACACTCAACCAGGTAGACAAGAATTCATGCATAGCATATTGATACATCACACTAATTAAAATGAGATATGCGCTTCAAAATTTTGAAGCTAGTACACACAGCATTCAAATGTTTCTGGATCAAATATAACAAATACGAGAGCTAAAAAATAATTAATTTCGTAAAAAAGTTAACGCAATTAGCATTTCTTATAAAATATATACGTGGATGCATTCTTAAAGTTTAATTGCATTACATTTAATTCTTAAAGTTTATTTGCATAAATGATATTTCAACTTATCATATATATCATATATAAGAAATATATGATAAGTTGAAATATCATATATGCAAAAAACAGATTACCTCCAAGTATGATAAAAAAATTATGATGTTTTTATTTCAGGAAGACGAAAAAATGATATGAAGCTGAACACACATACACACACATATTAAGAATCTTGTTTATGTACATAAGCTGAGGGAAAGAAACATGTCAAAGAATATTAAAGATTTAAAATTTTACGTGATGAAGGATTTTGTTTAAGAAATTTTGTACTATGTATTTGTATTAAATCTGTATTACACGAAACTGATGGAAATGCTATCTGTCTAACAGTTATATGTTGCGAATAATAATTTAAATACAATCGTAAAAATTTTTTTAAAGGAAGGAAACTTTGCAGTATAGTATGCAACAATATGCCATCCTATGTTACAATTAGTTACACCGGCCCGTTTTAATAAAATACACTTTTTGTTAATAACGAGCCACATTACAGATAGCCACGTTACCAAAAAAAAAACAGCTTAATATTTATTTGTTTACTTTATTAAACATTTCTTTCAATGTAAGTTGTTTAAGTTGCTTCGTTTCATGTGATAATACTTTTCTCTTAATTCTATTAAACAGACATAATTTCTGTTTTAGTTACAAAGTTCCCGCTGTTCAAGTCCTATATAGCCGTGTCGAGAACCCCGACTAATTTGTCAATCGAAATGTTTCGTTTTCAATAACCTCTGAGTCACTTTCTTCACTATCGGAAGCGAATTATAATGACGAGGAACTTGATTTAAATCATATCAAAACCGAGTACATCGAGATGAAATACTACATTAGTAAAGAATTATAAGCCAAATAAACTAAAAACACATCTGCCTGCTGAAGATAGGATAGTGCGACAGATCAACTTCCAATTCATTGTTTCAATTCATTGTGTTTCCCTTCCCCCGCAGAGCAGCGTGTGAAATTGATAAACATATTTCGGATTATTAGATAATCAAAGATATGCCTTTATCCTTTTTTGCAGCAATTCCACGTTTTGTTTAATGGACTCGAAACATACTTTCACTTGGTAGATCTTTACATATTAGTAAATATATATCGGAAATTCTATTTGACATAAGCGGAAGTTCAAGTTACTTTTATAAAATTGCGCTAACAGTCTGCAAAAAATAATAAGTGGATCCAATCGAAGATTAAAGAACACGCACAGATATACAACACGTGCATGCGTAGTAGTATTTATGCACATGCGCACATGTATATTCGCAGCCGTAAAAGTCTTACGCGCACGCATAAACGCCTAAGCGCATGCGTGAACGCGATGCATGCGCAGAAAGTTTTTAGCTTTGAGGTCCGGATTATACATCATTCCGGATTATGGGTGTCCGAATTAACGACTTTTGACTGTATCATTAAATGCAAATTTGCTAACAAAATATATGGCATCTTTTCTTATACGGTGCAGCATGAATTTACTTACTGTGAATGATGAATAAATACAAAATAAAGCTGTAAAATAATATATCAATGCAGTAATTAAAAGTTTCTTGATATTAAAAAAAATTCTGACAGCTTTCAAATTTTATATTATGCCCAAGAAGTGTTTCCCTCCCTATTTACAGACATTTACACTTTTTGCGAACATTTACATTTTTTTATTACATTTATTTGTCTGTAATAATACATTTACTTGTCTGTAATTTATTGTAATTATGCGCCATTACAATAATGTAGTTATAACGGTAATATAATATAATGATATCAAAGTATAGTAGTATATTTTTTACTTCAATGCCGTAAATACAAATTTGCTAACAAAATATATGGTGCAGCATGAATTTACTTGTACTCTGTTAATGATGAATAGCTACAAAATAATGTTGTAAAAATAACACATCAATGCAGTAATTAAACGTTTCGTGGAATTAAAAAAAAAAATCTGAAAGCTTTTGGATTTTACATTACGCCCAAAAGGGCGTCCCCCCCCCATTTACAGACATTTACTTTTTGTTTTATTACCAACACATACACATTTCGAGAGCATTTGGGCTAAAAATCTTAAAAAAGCATATCTTAAAATTTCCGGTAGACACTCTCGCATGCTAGATAATTTTTCTTCCCAGTACAGTGTTGCCATTGTTCACTTTGAAATCGTTGAGATTTTTAATCAAAAATTCGTTAAAGTTTTACGAAATATGAAATAGACAATAAAACAAATTCCAAATTTAGGCTTCCAGGTGCCCATGTTCGGATAGAGGACTATGTTATTTAAAATTTGATGACTTTGAAGTACCATTGCTTTTCTCACAATATGAGAAAAATGCATACATTCATGTAGATTTTTTCATTATTTAGTTCCTTTAGATATAACACTGGGAGATAATATTTGGTCGCAACAATTTTGAAAATGATAGTCGTTTCTAGTGATTTGAAGCAAACTGTTGTTTTGAGACTAACAGCCCTTCTGGGATAAAAGTTAGTTTAGTTTAGATTTCTGAATCTAAAAAAAAAAAAAAAGTTCTGAGTCTAGAAACTTTTGTCAGTAAACTACACATTTTGGCCTCTGCAATTTTTGTACTTTATTTTGGGTTTGGAACTCTTTAGACGTGCATCCTGCAAGATTTATAGATTGCAAAGTATAAGCATGAAATATGCCATAAAAATAAGAATAACAATCTAGGAGTAATTCTTGTTTCTGAATGCTGCAATAATTAGCATGAAAGTATTGCTACTGAGCAGAAAAACTGAAAATTTTTTAAATTAATACTGTTAATAAATATGCTACTTACAGCCATAATCTTCAAATTAGAGGCCCTAATCTGGACACCTTCAAGATGGAAGAACGATCATTTTTTGTGATTTACTCAACAAGGAGCGAGTGTTGTGTTATCGTCTCAATCATTACAAAGATTGATGTGTCAGAAACTTCATCAGATGTGTAGTTGCTGTTTAACTTTCTGACTGTTGTTTTAGAGCTAAATTCAAGATGGCAGATGTCACTGGATATTTTAATTTCTCAAGTTTTGTGATAGAAATAATGCATTTAATGCTGATGATTCTACTTTTATTGGATTATTTTGATTTACCAAACCTATAGCACGGATCCTTATCAATGAATCAAGGCCATGCTTTACCAGAATATGCACACCAAGGACAGCAGTAATTTCTGAATTAAAGATAAGGAATAATTTGCTGTTTCCAAATTTGTACGATATATGCTTCTGGCCATTTAGCTATCACATAAGTAATTCCTTAATTTAATTTTAGGGAAAATAATATATTTGGTGTTTTTCTGTTCCATATATAAAGTCGAGTGCATACTTTTAAATTAAAAGTGTAAATTTAAAATTAATGTCCGTATACTTAATTTCATGTTTTGATGAGTAATTCATAAATTTCGAATTTTTATGTTTTAATTTATAATATATTTCCCTCTACTTTTATTTTAAACTGTAGTGTATAAAAATGTAATACATTATGAAATGCATTTGCCTCCGACCTCCCTATGCCTCGTCTGGTTTTCACTGTCATGCGCCCATGTGGCATATTTATCATTGAGCAGGACACATCACGCGATATCCCTACCATACTCATATTGATTGATTGATATGCATTAAAAATATACAGTATGTATTAAAATTATGCACATCCTAAATTCAACATTCATATTAAATTGTTTTGAGTATAAAAAAAAGATTAAGTAGTTTTGATTGTGCCGATATGAATGTCAGTTTTCAGTATCTCCTATATAATTCCAGTTATATTCTTGTAAATATTTAATGCATGACTTATAACTATTATTATTTTTAGGCCTTCGTTATATTCACTCTAAGGCACTACTCGGAAGACAGAGAGGCCTTCGTGGAGGACTTTCTTAGGAAAAGTGGCTCGTATTAACACGTTACACAAGGGGAAAACTAAGAAAATGCCAATGCAGACAACCCATTTGCGGGATTAGAACCTCGGACTAAACTACCAGTGTTCTGGGCCTTTATCGCTCACCCATTGATGGGTCGTGATTTATAACTAGTTACCAGATTTTTTTATATGGTGTACTTTTAAATACTACATCAGTTTTATGCATTTTTTATTCAGATTTTAAAAAAGGGCATATATAGGAGTATGTACTGCATTTTCTTTCACTGTATATGTTTATATTACAGTCAGATATATACATTTAAAACATAACTTGGATTATACGTGTTGTTCAGTTATCTGTGACCTGCTTCTCCAGCATGGTTAATCAAGAGTACACTACATTCACAAAAGTTCCCTCTTTGAAAGGTGATATACATCGTTTTACTTCAATATTGCAAAATTTGTTAACCTCTTACGGAATTCTATTTTGCATAATTTAATAGACTGGCCATCAGATTTTTTTCATGTTTAATTTTAATTAGGGCATTTACTAATCATAATCATCATAAGAATAGAAAATTCTACAGTGACCATATAAAAAAATGTGCTTTTTCTGATGGAAGGTGATATTCTCATTTTTGTAAGTTCTGTTTGGTCATACTGTTCTCTAAATAATTCTTATTTTAAATAAATAAAATAATTCTTAAAGAAGAATATGCACATATTAAACTTTATTAGGACTTTAAAAGGTCCTTTTCAATGAACTTTAATGTTATTTTATTTGAATTAAAATATTAAAAGACATAAATCACCTGATAAATACAGCTTGTAAATAATCTACACAATAGGTTCATTAATAGTTTTCAAACAATTTTATACTAACTTTAACTCTTTTGATAATTAAATAATATGACATATGCCAGGTATTCCCAAGCACTTGCAGTTTATGGAATTCATGGTAAATCATAGCACCTTAATTCAGAACACTGTCTGACCTGACAATTCCAGCAAGCAACTAAAACAATTAGGTTGATTAAATTTTAAACAAACAACTAAGAATTTGGCTATCACAAATATGCAGTCACATTTAGCCTATTCCTCTTTTAATAATAACAGAAAGTGACTTAGTTCCCTACTACTGAATTTTGTCTTCAATTTATTGTCACAAGAGAGTTCGATAATATTTCCTTTTGGAAAAGTAAAAAAGTAAATGCAGATAAATTTTTGGCTTTGAAAAGATCTGGAATTTATGCAAAGATGTAGAGATATTATGCTTTTGAACAATTCTGACGACACAACACTCAGGAAAAACACAGTTTGCTGCGTATTGTTATCTACAATACATATTTTGCCTGTATTTATGTGATAGGTAAAATTCATGAATAAATAAAATCATTATTATAGTCATCACTTGCTAAAATTTTTTAATTCAAATTCAATACGAATATCAAAAGACGTGTACATAATGCCATACTTCAATTCTTTGATTTATGATATAGTTGCATAACCTTTTAAGACAAAAAAATATTTTTCACAAAATTCTTATTCACAAATAGTTTAGAAACATGTAACTTTTTAGAAAATTTCCATTTTTCAAAAGACCATATGTAAAATTATGCTTATTGTTCTCTACATACCTACAGTTTTGGAAAAGCCAGTTCCTTCTGCATTTAAGATATCCATTACTTCTCTCATTTCTTTTTTCCTGTTCTCTTTACTGAATGTGCTATCAATTTTACTGCTTAATAGCTGCGGATATTATCTAAAGAATGGTACCATTAACTCAAACTTGTTGGCAGTTTTTTTTTCTGTTGCCATCCTCGGTAATACGCACATGTGAAAGAGTACTTTTGACAACTAACTATGTATTCTCCCTGTGCCTCGAGCAATGTAGAACTGAGACAGACTGGTTACTATGCAATAAACATCCCTTCATGGAATTTATACTTCATTTTTCGCCCATGGAATTTGAAGGAGTCAGACTCGCTCTCCTGTCAAGTGGAAAGAGAATCCTGACCGGTTTTTCTGCCATCAATCTCGACTAGTGTCCAGAGTAGTAGACCTCTAGATTTGGCTTTGAAAATAATACTGAATAACTAAATGTCAGTTTTAAGTATTCAAATTCCAAATCAAAAATGCTGACATAGACAAAAATGCATAGCGTATTTTATTTCTGTTATGCTACAAAATCAGCAATATTCTTTATATTTTTTCAAAATTGACTGAATTGTAAGGTTAACAATGTTTAAGGAAGAAAAAGTTTAAGCTGATGACATAACAGTAACAATTTAGTATAAGAGCATGCTTATGGAATAATTGTTTGTACACCTTGCCCAAAAAAATGTTGGGACAGTTCTATAGCTCTCGTTCTACTGAAGCGATTGTCGAAATTAAACTTGCGTTTTCCACATCTTGAAAGCATGACTTCGGATATATTTATATATAGCATTGCTCTAACATACGTATTTTGACACAAAAATTGGACTTTTTCTGAAATAACATACCAATTTTTTTCCATATTTCGATTCTGCGATTCAAATTATGTCAAAGTTTTGTAATACTTGTTTTAAAAAAGGTAAATTTCAGGTTTTAAAAATTTAGATTTAAAATTCAAATTTTCTTTTTTTCAAAGTTTGAAATTTAGGTTCATTCCAAATAAAATTCGCCCATTTATTATGATTTATTTTTAAAATTTGTATTTTTATACAATTTTTATCAATTTCTTGGAAAAAACTTTGAATGATAACCGATAACATAAGCATACCTGCAAAAAATTAAAGTTTTATTCAAAATTTATTAAGATACACATGAATTTACATATCAGCACGTTTAGAAATTTAACATATTTGTTACAAGCGATAATAACGCAAATGTGGTTTATGCATTTTGTTAAAATTATTTCAAAGTATAAACGATGACCTTTTTTCCCCTCGTGTACAACGAAATAAAGGAAAGAAAAATACGTTGCTATAAATTAAGAATTTCGCCAAATGAATTATTCTTAGCGCAACCTGGGGGAAAAAAAAAAAAAAATGTGACAAGATAAATTTTTAAATTTCTCACTAAAAATTACAAAATTTAATATCTAAGCTTAATTTGAGTTAAAGAATCAAAATATTGAAAACAAATTACATAAAATTAAAAAATACAAAAAAAAAAATTTAAATTATAAAACTTCCAAAAAAAATCAAACTTGATTTTTCCTATCCCTAACCTTTCTCGAGCTATGTAGCTCCCTATAGTGCATCATGATAACCAATTAGGCAATTTTCCTATTTCTGCTCACTACTTAGATATATTTCTGATGTGGAGATACATGGTTTTGAACCATAGGCACTCCATAACTTATAATCATTGGCATTGGCAAAATATTGACAAAAATTGCTATCTTATTTTAGAAAAGTGATTTTGTGTCAAAATACCTATGTTTATGGAATAACAATGCTACATATAAATTTAATATATATCCCAAGTCGTGCTTTTGAGACATCTGCAAGTTAAATTTCGACAATCGGCCAGTAGAATGAGAGATATAGAACTGTCCCCTTTTTATGTGCATGATGTACAAACACATTCCTGTTCTTGCTTCCTGTCCATATAACAAGTCACTGTTCACCTCTTTATTTCATCAGTTGCAATGTTATAGAATGTAAAATGACACAAATGTGAAGAACGGACATCGTGATTGCACCCACTGCCATGTGTAACTTACATTAAGGATGCACCTCTCAAGAATTGCTTTATCCAGAAATGAAATGTGTGAAAACAGCATGACAGCTAACATCTAACTGAAACTATATATTTACACATCTACAATATTGGCCATGACTTGAAAGAATCTGAATCATGTCCATCTAAATTATTACATATATATATATATATATATATATTTCACATATAGACGTTTGTTAAAATTTAAATTTGTTTAAATATATATATATATACAGTCAAAAGTCGTTAATTCGGACACCCATAATCCGGAATGATCTATAATCCAGACCTCAAAGCTACAAACTTTCTGCACATGCGTTGCGTTCACGCATGCGCACAGGCGTTTACGAGAACGCGTAGACCTTTACGGCTGCAAATATGTTTGTGTGCATGTGCGTGTAACGCAGGTAAGCTAAAATTATCTAATTCAGTTAATGTTGCAGATTGCGTTGTTCCTTAATCTACAAATTGGATCCGGCTTATTATTTTTTGCAGACTGTTAGAGCAATTTCATAAAAGTAAGCTTGAACTTTCGATTATGTCAAATAGAATTTATGATATATATTTACTAATATGTAATTTGTATCTACAAAGCGAAAGTATGTTTTGAAATCCGAAATCTGTTTATCAATTTCACGCCGCGGATTTGAAGTTGATCTGTCAGCACTATCCTTATCTTCAGGGCAGATGTTTTATTTTATTGGCTTATAATTCCTTACTAAGGTAGTATTTCATCTCGATGTACTCCGGTCTTTGATATGATTTAATCAAGTTCCTCGTCATTATAATTCGCTTCCGATAGTGAAGAAAGTGACCCAGAGGTTATTGAAAACGAAAACATTTCGATTGACAAATTAGTCGGTATTTCTCAACACAGCAATTATAGGACTTGAACAAGGAATTTTGTAACTAAACAAGAAATTATGTCTGTTTAATAGAATTAAAGAGAAAGTATTATTACATGAAATGAAGCAACTTACATCGAAAGAAATGTTTAATAAAGTAAACAAATAAATATTAAGCTTTTTCTTTTTGTAAATTTTGATACCCTTTAGATCATAATTGTTCTTTATTTCATAAATTACGGTTCTTACATCGAAAGAAATGTTTAATAAAGTAAACAAATAAATATTAAGCTTTTTCTTTTTGTAAATTTTGATACCCTTTAGATCATAATTGTTCTTTATTTCATAAATTACGGTTTCATATTTTTAATTTTGTAATTTCTGCATGCCATCTTACCAGATTTAAACTGATGATCGATAATCCGAAATTGCCGAAGTCCCGACGAGTCCGGATTAACGACTTTTAACTGTATAATGCATCAAGTTGAGATGGCCCTCAGATACTTTGCTATAGTTGGTTGAACAAGTAAATACAAAGTTGGAAATTTTATTAATTAAAGATGAAAATACTGGAAAAAAATATAATTCACTTTAATAAGAATGTTTCAGAACCTTAAAACTTTTATGTGAACCGTGAGAAAATGTAGCATAAAAAATGGTTTTGTTGTTTATATTTTGTTTATTCCAACCTACATATTGCTTAAAATTTAAAGTCTGAATTTTGTTTAAATATATATTCTAAATTAGTGTACAAACAGAAAATTAAAAATAACATATTTTTCTTAATTAAAAAAATTTAATAATTGCTTTATTGAACTGATTGCATGATTTCACCATTGCGATTAGTTAAGATTTAGAAAATCTTTGCTGTTTCACAGAATGTGCTATGAAACAAAGATTTTTATTATACAGGGTTCGTACATATTTTTGCACATGGAAATTAAGTACTTTTAAGGACCCATCAACAAATGGAAACAATAAATTCACATAATTTTATGATATTAGGTGATTTCGAAGCAGGAGACATACAAAATGAGCAATTCCCTCACCGGCACTCGGACCACTCGAACACACACAGGGCGTGCTGACTATTACACCACGAAGGCGGGAGAAATGTTTTATATAATTCTCTTTTAAAGAGCGACTGGGGATTAGGGGACTCAATTGCCAAATCCTGGTGGTGGAGAATCATCATCCACAACCAGAAGTCGTGAAAAATGAGCAATGCCCTCACCGGAAGTCAAACTTCTCAAATACAAGGCGAGTGTGCTGGCCTCTATGCCATGAATGCATGCTAAAAAGGCAGGAGAAATATCTCGTAACAGAAATTCTCAACCAGTGGTACGCAAAGAAACAAAGCAAGTAAAAAAATATTTTTAACAATTAAATTTTTAAAAAATCGTGAAGAAAAAGAACAATTGATAGAAATTTTCTGTGATGGAATTCTTAACTGAAGATTTCAAAAATAACACGTTAACTTTTGGCTGAACCCCCTCACCCCCCAAAAAATTAAAGGGATTTCAAGTAAAGCTATTAAATTGCCTATTTGTGCGAACAGGGATTTTCTTCCATGTTATATTTGCGAGCAGGGAAAAAACAGAACAAAATTAAGTGGATTCCTAATTTACAGTTAAAGCTAAGTGAAATAGGCCCACATTTCAGAATAAATTTTAGAATTAAATATTATAACTTAAATTTTGATAATTAAAATGGTAACCAATTTTTAATCTAATATTTTTTATGTGTGCATATTTAATGCAAATTGTCAACAGGTTGTGCAAATGGGGGAAAAAAATTTTATTTCTATTGAGAAATTGAAAATTATTGTAAAATACAGTGCTAGTATCAAAGTTTTTCAATTTTTGTATAGATGGTTTGCGTTAGTCAAAAGGTTGAGAACCGCTGCCTTTATAACATTTTAATTATGCTTTACTAACAGTTAGCTTTATATTTGATTTTTCTTTTATGTCTTTTGTCATGTTCTTGCTCAGTTTAGAGGTTTCGTAAATAGCAGGTGGATTTTATGTCAAACGGCATAAGGTAAAATCATAATCAGTATGATTATGCTGCCACTGCTGCTTGCTTAGAGAGATTGCTGATCAGAACAAACTTGAAAGCCTGATGTGGGTACCGCTAGCAAGTTTTGAAAGTTAGGCTAGCTCTGCCCATCTCTTGCAGTTAGTGTCATAGCTTCGTGCAGAGTTCCTGGGGTTGTAACCCAGTTAATATATTTTAAGGTTCTAATAAGCCATTTAGCACCAGAGGTGATAAGTTGCTTTGCATTATTTTAAGTCTCACTAGATGCAAAGAATAAGTTTTATATTAATTTTTACATTATTTTGCTGTAACTTGTGACCACAGTAAGTATTAATGAAAGGCAATAACTCACTTTAATATGCACAGATAACTTTAAATGGTGACCAATTATTAATAGATAATTAAATTAGCTAGTTAGGTAACCCTTAGTCATTAACGATTGTCACTATTAATTTAAAAAAAAATTGCTAAAAAAGTAAAAGCAACAATACTCAACAAAATATTTACACATCTTTTTGAATGGAAGACTTTCCAGATATTCTGGTAAATTTATATCAATTTCCTTCTCTTTATGCGTCTTTTCTAACATTTAGAAATTTATTTCAACATGGAAACCAATATTATCACTAGTTTCTGCATGTTTTATCTCCTAACTTGTCACTCTCTCCTATGTATCTATGAGGTTTTACTTCATCTGGCAAAAGTTAAAATACTCCAAAACCCTTGACAGGCGTGAACAAATAAAGGTTTAAATAAACCTCTTATTTAAAAAGAACTTAAAACATAAAGCCGTGTTCTTATGCTAGCAAAACCAACTACGGCTTGTAGTAATTAAACAGGAACAGTATAATTCAAACTGCAAATATGGACTAGAAGTCAGACTACACAATTTAATTTTAGCTGGCTCAGTAGCAAACTTGTAACTCATCATAACAAATTCAAATATCAGCAGCGATAACACAAACACGAATAATTGCAAATTATGAGAGCTGATAGGTATTAATGCAGTATGCAAGTGGAAACCAGAAACAAATTCTTTCTTACAACCCCCAAAACCTTTGTTTAAAAACTATCTTAAGATTTGCATTCTGGTGAGGAAACGGGAAATTTAGTTAAAGGCCGAAATTATAAGCAACTGCTTAATTTACAAAATAATAACTGTGCATATTTTTGAAAAATAATTTTCTTTCTCTTTATGTATTCGATTTCTTTCTTCAATATGTCTCCTCTTCATTTTAGAAGTTTTGGATTTAATTAAAGAGTCCTGTTATTCTAAAAAACTAGTAGGCATTTAGAATGTATAGGAAAAGGTGCTAGTTTTATTTCTTTAATAATATGAATATTCAAAATAAATATGAAATTATATATGGTAAGGGTCGGTTATAGAGCCAATGCGATACAATTTTTAGAATTTAGGAATGCACTAGACAGTAGAATTTAGGCTCCACAAACATTGCACTAGGTGGGAAATGCCTAGCACCAGACCTGCTTATGATGCACTGAGACATATAAGATGAATTTTTTAAACTGCCAGTTTTCAATTTCTTTATTAGAAAAATTACTTTCTATAAATGCTTGTCCATGCGACAAGATTAGAAGCATTTTTTTGATATTTTCCATGCTTGCATCTAGTGAAAAGTAGAGAAAATAAAGGGAAGAAAAACTCGCTAAGACTTTAGTATCAAAAGTCAAACATTTAAATATTTTGTTTTCAATTGTTCTTCTAAAAAGTAAGAAATTCACCACAAGCCTTTCTGTAAATTACATCCATTACGTGTTACTACCAAGACATTTTTCTGGAATCTTCTAGATTCGTGGGTCTTCAAATCCTCCTAAATTTTCCAAGTTGCAATGTCTAATATCCTTCAGAAAAATTACCCCTAACAATTCTGTAACAGAAAAAGCCAGAAATATTTCGTAAAAAAAAATCTTCGATAAAAAAGTGTAAAATTAATTTTACAGAGAAAACTGATGCATATTCTGAGACAATTACATGGAAAAACTCTTCCCATGAAAAAATTAAAACAGACTTTTTAATTAATTACATAGCTATTTTGCTTTTGCTAAGAATTGTTTCATAAAGCACAATTTATGCATTTATTACCTTGTTTATTTTTCTGATTCAAAATATTGTATAATATGTTGCTAAAATGGAAAGTAATGTCACTTTATAATATGATAGCAAAAAATATAAAAATTTTGTTTTAATGTTATTTCTTGAATATAATTTCAATGTACTAGCATTACTTTAACTTAATGTTGTAATGTTTTAAAAAATGTCGAAAAATTCCCAGATTTCCAAATTAAAAATTTTCTATAGAAACTGATCTTAAAATCGGCAAAATGTTGATAATTTGCCAAATTTGAAACTGTTTAATGAAGAATTCACATTGCCAAAAAGTTGTTAAGAGCTTTTCATTAGAAAAAAATGAAATAATTTTGAAATGCTATGTTTCACTTTTTGTTCAGAAACTTGAGTATCACACAGTTTATATTAGAAATAGGAACAAATTATAATCCATGAACCTATTCATTAATTCAAAAGATAACTATATTTGTTGATGAATCACCAAAAAATATTTCTCCAAAATGATAATTCACTTTCAAAATGGCAGTCGTAAAAACAGACAGAAATTTCAGATGATTAAAATTAAGGACCTCCTTCCGTTTTGGCCAAAATTAAGGACCAAAAATCAATTTCATAAAACCTAAGGACACGAACCCTGTTATACTATTTAGAGATTTTTCTTGTATCTTTTTATATTATTATATGTGTTTTAATCACAGTGCAACTTATTATATTATTTATGTTAAGTGCTGATACAGAGACTTAATCAGACAAAAAGAACAGAGAAGAAGCAAAAGAATTACAAGCTCAATAAAAAATTAAATCTTGTTATTTTTAATACATGATATGTTTTGAGTCTTTCACATTTTAACACAAACAGCAACAAAGCAAAATATGCAAAAATTTACAAGGTAAAAAGCTTCAAAATACAGTGCATAAAACTACTCTATTTTGAAAAGATACAATTCTATTTCTAGTTTTAAAATATGAATGCATATTTGCCTGAGAAGAATATCAAGAACAATTTTTAAAATCAGAGATTGAATAAGTTACACATTAGTTTGTATATATATGTAATATCTTAGAAATAAATTTTAGCTTATTTTTAAAAAATAGGGTTATATAGATGAGTATTTTTCTAGTAATAAAATATGTACACTATAGTAAATACCTTTCAAGGAAAAAATTACAATATATCAAAATTCGGCAATTCACTTAATAAATTTTTCAAATTCGGACCTCTTCCAATAGATTAAAGTAGTCAATAACTGCTGCTTTGTACAAACGAAGCATTTTTTCCTTGATCATAATTTTTTAATAACTTAAACCATTAGTAAAAATATGTTGCTCAAATTATTGGCAGGCATTACACATAAATCATAAAAAAGTTCATACTTTTATGAAAATCTCATGATTTTAAAAATCATAAAAGTATCAAATATACTAAGCAGAAAGAGCAATATAGCTCCTAAAGTCCAAAGGTGAGACCATTATTATGTACATTGGTCCATCATCTGCTTCCAATGTTTAAAACTGATTTTTTTAACATCTCTGATTTCAAATAGAAGAATCATCTTAATATTAAAAAATATGTGTACTATAAGGTAATCAATCATACAGCCAATTTGTTATTCGAACATTTTCCACATCACATGAAAATAACTTTATCTTTGGACTTGGCATTTATGAACGTCCTTCTAATGTTTTCAAACACTGTGTTTGCATCCAAAGATGCATCTATGCATGTGTGGATACCTTTCTGTTTATAATAGTCAACAAGAGGCTTTGTTTGCTTGTGGTATGCTTCAAGTCGCTTCCGTAGTGCTTCTGCATTATCATCGGATCTCCTGATCAGTGGTTCTCCAGTTTGCTGAAAAACAAAATACATTTATTGAGAGCTGTGAAAATAAACATATCTTAATTTATAATATAAGTTTTGATTTCTGTATGTATTTCTATTTAAGCATGTACACACTTCTAGAAAACTAACAATAATTCCTGTAAATTGTTTCATTCTAATTACAATCAAATAAATTCTAGTCAGAACTACACTGTCATTAATTATTCATATACATTTTTACTTCGTAAAAATTTTCTTAAAATATACATATGGACATATATTCGAAGAAGTCTTACTTTTGACTAAATACAAAGTCTAACAGAAATATGTATACACACTTTAACAAAAATTCTTTATTGTATGTTAGTACTGAATTTAATTATAGGTTTATATAATCATACATATGCTAGGTTAGGTAAGACTTAATATAGGCCATTAGCAGCTGACACATAGCACAACAGCAAGTGATTGCTTGAACAATGAACACTAGTCAGTGTATCCACAGAGGTTAATGCACCTGCTGCTGTAATTTATTGATGAAGGACCTCCAGCATATCCAGTTTCTTGTGTTACATGATGCTCTTCAAAGTCCCCAAAAGCCACTGTGACTCACTACCATGTATCAAATAATATCATCATGAGAGTACTAATATATGTTGAACAAACACCATACTAAACAAGGTAAAGATAATTCAATTATGAAATCAATACGTGTACCATTTTTTAAAGTGTACATACATTTTTATAATAGATCGCATACAATACCAATATGTTGCAGTGTAATATGGAACTAGAAATTTGAATGTTCAAGTACCACAAATCATGAAAAAGATTTAAAAGTGCAAAACTTCGTACATTTTAATCATTTGAATCCTAACCTGAAGTATCATTAAGCACTTAAATTCAAAATTTTTGAAAGAAAAGTTTTACTGACATCAAATATAAGCATTCAATTAAAAAAATAAATAACACAACAAATGTTGCAGTTTCAGTGGTATTTGGATGACCAACATCACCTTGAGTGCAGCAATATTTTAGTATCCTTGTAGAATCATTATTATTTTAGCTGGAGACATGAAAAATGTTGAATGCCCTCACGGAAATTCACACCCTGGACCTCTCTAATATATGTTGAGTATGCACTCAATTACACCACAAAGGCATGCAGAAAGAAGGGAGAAAATACTTCATGTGCTACCTAGAGAAATGTTCCCATTAAATCTTATATTATGTTTATCATTATTTCGACAGTGTGATATTAACAGTGCCATTTATTATTAAAAATTTCAATGAAAAGTTATAAAACAGCCCTTGGATGGACGGCTTGTCTGTCTGATGTGATTCTGAACAGAACAGAATAAAAATAGCGAATTATAGTTAGTAGTGGCTCTTAGTTTATATAAGAATGATTCTAGACTAGGATTTAAAAGAATTTTTTTAATTGTAATTTGTACGGTGCGAGTTTAAGGAACTTAATGAGAATGAATAAGTTTAATAAGCAGTGGGCACTGTACATCATTCAAAGAATAGGAAAATGATTATTGAGGGGGAAAAAAAAAATCAGGTTTTCAAAAATAAACTAGAGGGCATTTTATAATAAAATACAGTAAAAGAAATCTATAAGATAAATAAAACAAACTCAAAAACCTTTTTATATTTTAACATTTACAAATATTAGAGATAGAAACAGAAAAAGGTATAAAAATGTCCTTCTGTATGCAGAGAAAAATTGAATGAAAAATGGTTTATAGGTTACTCTGAACATTCTTTATTTATAGTAGATGGCAGCTCAACACAAACCAGTCCATATATTTTAGCCATGTTTAGTTTTTTAAGACCCTCATTTTTTAAAAAGAAATTTCTATGTTATTTTTTTTTTTTTTTTTTTTTTGGCTCTATGTTAATCTTCTTATTCTATTATAAATTTTTACCTTGAAATCTTGCCTAAAATCAAATGGCGAACCCTAGGTGTGGCCAGACTGGGCTCACCAATAATCTAGGACAACTGAGAGTCTGTATTCTTTGTTTCTCCACATCTCATCGGTCAGTTCATTGATAACAATGCTCGTTTCAGCACTCTTTTCGAAGCTCTAGTCAATCAGTGTGCCACTTTGGGCACACCCACAGAATTAAAATGATAAATGCTATCTTCACAAAATTTTACTTGTGAAGGCCTAATTACACTGCCTAGCTTTTTTTTTTTTTTTTTTTTTTTTTTTTTTTTAATCTCTGACTTTCAAAGTTAGCGTGCTGGAAAGGGTTAAAGCAGAACTGAAGGGCTGTATATCATTACATGAGTGAAGCATCACAGAGGATCAACTGCTACCAGTTACTCCATATATTGCTCAAGACCTTTACTTCAAGCAAATCAAAAATTAAACTTTAGTTCATCCTGTTAGAACATAACTGGTGTTTGGTTACTGCAAACCATATGCATACATTTGATAAAAATAGTACTTTACAAATTAGGGTCGATTTTCTTTGTTTGCAGGACTCGATCTGACTTTTCTCTCTCCGATTATATTTATAATACTTGTAAATGCTATAATTAATGTTAAATTTTTTAAAATTTACTTAATAGGTTCCTTTCCTGTATCATAAAATGCCCTCAAGTATTTCTTTAACATCTTTCCCACAGAATTATTTCCATAGCCTTTTACTGTATGAGTAAGTTCGATTCACTATTACAACTAAAGAACCCAGAACTGTCTAATTAATTAGATCTAATATATATAATCTAAGAAATATGTGTTAATTGGCTGTTTTATAATCAGCAATATTTCTATTCAGCAGTAAAAAAAAAAAAAAAAAAAAACTATTATTAATTAGTTTTAGGAAAGAAAAAATCTAAGTGAATTTTCCTTAAATAGGATAGATTAGACCAGGGTTTCTTAAACTTTTTTCAGTCGCAGCCTTCAGGACCCCATAAATTTACAAAAAATTTTTGGGACCCATAAGTATTGTGCAAATCTGACACACACCTGAGTGAAACTGTCAATTTTTTCATTTGTACTGTAATATACTATTGCAGTTTTAGGTCATTAACATTAATTTCTAATTTTAAGACATAGAACAATGTGAAAATTTTAAATAAGTCACAGACAAAATGACTTTGCATCCTTGCTTTGCACGTTTTTACAAAAAGAATGCGTCAAAACGTTTCCTTTTTTCTTTGTCTGCATAGCCTTATCTTTATCTATTTTCATATACATTGTGTAAAAATTTTTGGTAATTGTAAAATTATTACAATAAGTTAAAGAAATATAAAAACTGCTAAAATTTTTAGCGAACCCCAGTTTAAGAAACCCCGGATTAGACCACTAACTCTTGCACAGTTCAAGAACAAACTACAGCGGTAAATATCTCACTATAAATCCATATAAATGTTATTTCCAATTACATACCTTTTTCAATAAATTAAAAAAGAATAAGCTACTCACATCATCAATCATTGGCTTCTTTGGAGGATGGAATTCTTCATGATAAGATCTTCCACTGGGAGGATGAATTAATCGACCCGTAATTCTCCGAACCAGAAGACTATCATCTATACCAAATTCAATGACAGAATCTAATTGAGTATTTCTTTTTTCTAGAAGTCCATCCAGCTATAAATTCAAATATTTATATATAACATAAATATACATGATACGTTAAAAGAATTCCACTGCTTTTTAAATATTCTAACAATTTAAAAAGAATGCAGCAAAAGACAATTACGCAGCAAAAACATAAAAAAGTCATTACACTTTTAAGACTCAAGAAAATAGCTCTATAAGCCATTAAGAGTACTTATGAGTACTTAACACCACCAACTTAATAAAAACTGCTAAATTTTCAAAATGTGCATAACTTTCATGGAGATTCTTAACGTTGTATTCCAAGTTCCAACAGTTTTTATAACAACTTCTGATATTGTTGCTTTAAATTCCATCAAGTACACACTTGTGAGATTTGCATGCAATGGAAGAAACTGCAGTAAAATGTCTGCAGGAATATGATTTTTAATATGAGATTCCACCATTTAAAGCAACTTGGATATACTTTGGAATTCAATATATGGGTTCTGCATGTTTTGACAGAAAGGAACAATGTGAACCATACTTCCACAGCCTCTCCTCACTTGTTGACAAAATGAACCTAACTGGATAATGTCATAACTGGAGATGAAAAATGGGTTATGTATTAACAAAATAAAGCTAGAAGCATGGAAGTGAAAAAGAAAAATCTATAGCAAAAAAAAATGAAATGTATTTAATGCAAATATTGTTATATGTCTGGCGAGACTGCACAGGAATAAATTGATATGAGCTTTTTTCACATGATCAAATAATTAATGAGAAATAGTGTGAGCAACTCACCCAACTTAGAGCTCAAATCCAAGCAAATTGTTCAAATTTCATAAATCGAAAATGGAACATCTTTGACCATGATAATGCTAAACCACATATAGCTTAACAGACACTGCAAAAACTTCAAGCACAAAAATGGGAAATCTTCTACCACCTGCCCTATTCCACTTACCTTGCACCTTCAGATTTTCATCTGCTTTGCTCTTTGTAAAATAAATTTAACAGTAAAAAAAAAAAAAAAAAAGAAAGAAAGATTCTTTGAAAGAAGTTAAAAACTACCTTACAACTTCCTTTGAAGAGAAACAATGCAGTTTCCACAAAGAAAACATTCAAAAATTTGTAAGACATTAGGAGACACTTATTGAAAATGATGAAGATACATTAATGATTGATAAACACCATTTTTGGAGAAATGAGCTATAGTTAATTTGGTTTCAAACTGGGCATGAACTTTTGCAATCACCCAATATCTTGTAATTTTAGCATAAAAAATTCACAAATACAGCTATAAAATTGCAGGTAATGACGTAGTAAATGATCTACTACACTTAGTTGTAGCACTAAACTTGATTGTTGTTTTAATAATTCCTTTTCCGATCATTTTTGGCATATTCATATTTAAAACATTTAAATGGCTCAATCTAATAAATAAATAAATAAATATATGTTATAAACTCGCATATTTCAACATTATCAAACAGTTTTATCTTTTTATGACATGGTGATGATGTAATATGTGATCTGCTTTTAGTTGGTTGTGGTTTTAACCATTTCCTTTTTTTCATTATTTTGTTGCACATTCAGATTTAAAAACATTTTAGTGGCACTATCTAATAAATATGTGGCAGATCACATATTACATCATTACCAAACTGTTATCTTTTTTATGAAAAAATAATTTGCTTTAAGAATATATTTTCTTATTAAGCATTAATAAACACTGACTATTTATAATATGAATTCAGAAATTCCATAGCTGTAAACTTTGATTTTGTTACAGACATCTTTTTCTGCCAATATAAAAATTTGCCAAATGACAGATTTTGCAAAGATCTGAACTATATAATAAAAGATAAAAAAATTAAGCTTTGCAGAAAAGTGACTAGTATCACCTTCTATGCCAAAAATCAACTTTAATACAATGTAGAATTTCGCTTGCTTTGGGAACACAAACTAGTTCCTAACTCCTAACAGACATAAAGGGAATTATCACTGTGTCTGAAGTACTTAAAAATTTAAAGAATTTTTTTATTTTAGAACTTTTAGACATAAATGCACTTCTAGTGCTAACAGAATCAACCACAATTTGTGGCAGTGTAATTAAGGTAACAGCCCAAATTCATATTTAAAATGCAGACTAAGAGGCAAGGACTGCATCATTAAAATTAAATTTAAGTTGGCTCAAAAGCTCTAAGCAGCATATCAAATCCAAATGTTTGCAGCAATAACACAAGGCCGAATAATTATGAACTTATCAGAACTGGCAGGAACTATGTAGCATGGCCACGAAGGGAAAGAAATATGCTCTGTCTAACAATCCTAAAACCTCAGCTTAAATATTCTCTAACTCAATTTACATTCTGGTGAGGAAACAGAAAAGAGAAGTCATAGTAAAGGCTGAAATTATAAAATACTGATTACTTTAAATAACAAATCTCATAATGCTATACCCACAAAAATATTTAAATATTATAACTTGGAGTATTTCTTGCTAATTTGCATATATAAAATACTTCAAAATATTTTTAAGTAATTCTATGACTCATAAGAAAATTAAATATATCTTAATAAATTGCTTGATTTTCATTAGTTGATTGGAATGCACAGATTATTTATCCTTTGTTAATATTTATATAAATGCTTTGATTATGTTAATACTAACATTTATCGCATAACAAAATTACCATATTAAAATATGCTATTAGAAAATATTAAAGAAACAATGATAAAAAGGTGTTAATACTCAGTTATAAAAAGGTTAAGATAATATGACATTTTTGTAATCACTCTTTCCGGAATTCCTTTTTATTCACATTTATTGTAATATTCCACATTAATGACTCATGGATTGCTCACCAATGGCCATAAATTTGAAGATCTCTGATGTTTATAGCCTTTGATGGGCCCCACTGACATTCAATTTAATTGTAAAGTCAAAATTTACTTCACTGCAGATTTAGGCGATTGACTTTCAAAATGGCGACATTACAAAATTAAAAAATATGTAACTTGGTTATACAGTAAAAATTATTTTAAATTATTTGCATGCGATAAGTAAGGAATCTAACAAGAATAACAATGAAGTTTTGTAAGGAAATACAAAGTTACAGACACAGTCTGTTTGAATTAACTTTCTAGTACACATTTTCACCAAATTATATTAATGATCATATATTACCAAATAAAATACACTTTTTCAGATTGGACAAGTGTAAAAGGAAATCCCTCTACAAAAATCTATTATGAAAATAATCATATATTATCAAATAAAACATACCTTTTCAGCTTGGACAACTGTACGAGGAAATCCATCTAGCAAAAACCCATTACGACATTCAGGCTTGTCCAAGTTTCGGTCAATGAGATCAACAACCAATGAATCACTGACTAGTTTACCTTCATCCATTACTTTTTTCAATGTTTTACCAAGTTCTGAACCAGAGGCTACCTCAGCTCGAAGCATATCTCCTGGAAAAGGATTAAATATCAATATATCCATAAAAATGTTGAATTCTCTAAAATGGTTTAAAAAGTTATGGTAAATGTCATTCTGATAAATTATTATAACAAAAAAAAAAAAAAAAAAAAAAAAAAAAAAAAAAGACTGCTTAATAAACTCATGGCATAAAACATTTAAACTACAGAATATGCAAAGAAGTGCAAGTAGTACGTTCCAACAGAAATATTATTCCTAAATAAAAAGGTTTCAAATAAACACTCAATATATATAAGTTTATGCAGTATTTACAGATTCATAATAATCATAAATTTTATTTTGTTAACAATAAATTTGCTATTGCAGTAAAAGAACAATTTACTTTTATTTCTAGAGAAAACTGTGATAAGTTCTAATTAATTATTTACAAATACTGAAACAAAATTTTTTTTAAAAGAGAAAGGCCTTCAAACATTATCAATTTAAAAATGAATACTATTTGAGTTTTGTTGAAGCACATTACTGAAAATATTTATTCTCAATCGTAAATGCCACCAAATATGAAAAACGTGTAAGCAACATCCATTATATGTATATATAATATATATATTTTTACGTGAAGATCAGAGAAATGCAGTAATGCTTTAGTTGATCAGATGTATTATGTATGATTCTAGACAACTCTTCTAATGCTCACAATCAACCAATAATATGCAATGTGTTTGTACAACAGAACTATGCAGTTATAGGGAATTATTAATACATCATAAACACAGACAAAAATTTATTCATCCTTGTTTTAAAGACATTAAAAATTTGAAAAAAAAATTTAATGTAAAATGCTTAGTTTAGTAACTAATACTGTAGCAAGTACACATAAAAATTGGAATCTTGCTTTTGAAGCCACTGAAAAAGCTGAGACAAATTTAAATGTAAAATGTGTAGTTTTGTAACTAACAATGCAGCAAGTATATAAAATCAAGAAAGAATTAAGAAACAAGTGTTGCTTTATATTTTATAGTCGTTCAGCATATATATCTAATTTATCGGACATAGATTTTAAAATATTAAGTGTTACTGAGCATGTTATTCAAGCCATAAAATAATTTGAAATGATCTGATAGTTCGAGTCAGTTTCAATGAACTGCTTTAAATATATTAATTATAACTATAATATGTAACTCCTTTAATGGCTATATAAAGATGGCCTTAAAGGCTAATTTTGAAGTAAATTGCGGAAAAGAATTTAGATGCATAAATAAATTGTCAGCAATCAGTCTCCAAATATGCAGCAAATTAAGAAATTGGACATCCCACAGGTAGTTCAGCAATTAAGAAAAACAGTGGGGAACAACTGCAAAAAGGTCATGTACTGATGTATACTGTCAGGTTAGCCTATCATTAAGTACAGCATTTAATTTGAATAGCCCAACAAAAACTAAAATATATCAATAGCAGATCATTTTAAACTATGTTCAAAGTTACCTGTTGCAAGATGACAAACACAAAATTCTTCCTTCAGACGAGGAGCCTAAAAAACATGAATTAAGATTAAGAATTAATTTTCCTATTACAGAACACACATATAATGTTATTTTTTTCGGGGGGGGGGGGTATTTCTTCTCAGCTGTAACACTATTAATCAGTACAGTAACACATATTTTAAGGACAAAATTAAAAAATTTGGTGTTTTCAGATGCAAAAGCAGTTTTAACATTGGATAAAACTGTTGTATTTGACATATTTTTCAAGTACATATAATTCATGAACAGAACAATACCTATGAGCCATAAAGACAGCTAATTCATAAAGGGCCACTTTTCATGAGATGTGAATAATCATAAAGTACCAAAAATACAGCCAATAGAGCAAGCTTTAACAATAAATGATTAAATTTTCATTTAAAACAATGTTTCTTTAACCCACATGTTATACCTTCCTGATAGCATAGAAGTAAGTAGCCACCTTAATTACGATGCTCATAAAAATATTTAAATCAAATAAATGTAGACAGTACTCCTTTTTTCTTTTCTTTTTGAAGATATTTAAAAGTAAAAACAAAAGGCTGCTTTACTTTTTTTCAATTCAGTGAATGTGGTAAATCTTTTAAATCAGACATGAAAGCTAAATTGATTACAATTATGAATAAGCAATGAGTGTGACAGAATAATAATTAATTATGTAGTAATATTATGAGAACTGATTAAGTATGATTTTGCTAAACTAAAAAAAATTTACCACTACTGCCATAAATATTTATATATAATTTATTTTTATACACATCATTTAAAAATAACCCAGCCACTTGCTGCAGAAAAATTTTTAATTATTTTTTTTTTCATTTTATAATAAAAAAATAATAGAATGATAAAAAGTATAGTATGAGTAGATTGAAAACTTTTATGGTTTTGCTGCAGTGCAGTATTCATCTTATTTCACACCGCTGAAGTTTAGAGCTACAGCTTAAATAAAATTAAACAATTAAATTATAAAAAATGGCATACATTGAGTACATCTTTTTTCAAACACTGACAAGCCAAAATATTACGACTATCCCCACATTTTTCAATGAAGTCTGGATGACGTGGGGGGGGGGGCACGTGATTAAGTGGGAATGGTTTTAAGTGCTGGTGGGGAAGGTAAGAAATCATTTTTGCGAGTGATGGAAAGGGTTGCTGATAGAAACGAATTTGATAGATCGCAGATTGTTATGGCCCGAAAACTTAGAAAGAGTAATAATAAAGCATAAAAATGAATTCCAATGAATGTCCTGGCCACCTAATTCACTGTGACCACTTCTTAAGACATTTGGTAGGTGTCTCCAGTCATCTACCAAGAGCTTTTGGCATCCATGCCAAGATGAGCTGCAGTTGTTTTGCAAGCCATCGTGAAACACATTATAGTAGGCCATAATATTTTATGTTATAATGTTTTATGTGAAACACATTATAGTAGGTCATAATCTTTTGCCTCTTCAGAGCATTTTGTAACTATTTTCTAAATTTGAACAACATTTTCAATACAATTCTGAAAGTGCTGAGAAAGCATTTCATGTATTTTTGTAGTCATAACTGTAGTAATTACACTTTAATTAGAAGACTTTTTTAAAAAAACAGTTACAGGTTAACGCAATTTAAGGGTACCTTTGGATTATCGTGAAGTTGTTGTTTCATTTATGGTAATTAAATGTTATGGAAACCCTAGTATGACGTGATTGGCTGTGCGATTGCAGTGAATTTGACTGATGGAAAAATGTTTGTTAGATGTAAGTTAGGCAATACGCTGTGCATTGTAAAATGGCTGTCTGGTTGAGGATACTTAAAAAAAAAAAAAAAAAAAAAAAAAAAAAAACTTCACTGGATATAATTCAACAGAATTATAAGTGTCCTCTTTGTACAAAGGAAATGCATATGGTCGAATGTAAAGATTGTTCAGACGGCTTTGAATGCGTTTGTCGCAAGAAAGGTTCCATATAAAGTGTTCTATTAGAAAGAGAACATGGTTTGAGGAAAGTTTTTGGATGCTGTTAAGGAATTTTGTGCGCCATGGACTGAAGACACAAAAATTTCTAAATAATATAAGTAAATATTTCCTGTAGCGCTTTAGATGCTACAAGATGAATTTCCTTTTTTATGTTTTTCATTGTTTAATTTAAAATGTAGTTTATTGGGATTATATATTTTTTTGTTTGGCTCTAGTGTAGAACTGGATGCTCCCTTCACTTTTTAAGTGAAAATAGATCGATGTGTATATGGATATTGAGTTTGTGCAATTCTTTGACTTGTTATTTTAGCTTTGTGTAGAGGCAATTTTTGGATACCAAGTTTGTGCAATTCTTTGACTTGTTATTTTAGCTTTGTGTAGCAGTGATTTTTAGTGCCAAAATCGTCACTACATAAAGCCAAAATAACAAGTTAAAGAATTGCATGAACTCGATGTCCATATACCGCCAATTTTTGCCAAGGGGCACCCGTAAATATACTTTTACCCAATTACATAACTGATACATTTTAATTAAAAAAAAACTGAGCTAAAGAAATGACAATTCATTAAGCTTGGTCATAATTTGATTTTAATATATAGTTATTTTAAATGGTAATTTCTCCGCGTTAATAAGTTTTTTAAAAATTGAAAAAAAGTTCAAATTCTATCTTTGTAACTTGTTTAAAATAAAATTTTACTCATACCAGTTTACAAAAGTAAACTTTAAGATCATGCTATTGAACAGGCTGGTCTTATGGGTATTTTGATAATTTTTGCCATGTTTAACATAAATGTGAACCACCTACCTTCAGGAGTCCTACATGGAGGCATCCCTTTCCTTAGGTAGGTAGTGCTAGCATACTTTGGTACAATCTAATATATATATATATTTTTTATTTTTTATTTTTATTTTTATTTTATTTTTTTTTTTTATTTATTATTTATTATTTATTATTTTTTTTTTTTTTTTTTATATATATAATCATGAATAACCTACAAGTAATTTCTACATAATATGGTCATAAGGTAAAATAAAGGCCTCAGAATTTTTAAAGTTATAGAAAAAGTATACTACTCTGTTTTTATATCTAAGTGAAATGAAGTTTAAAAAAAAAAAGGCTCAAAATTTTAAATTTACAAATTGCTTTTATCTCTAAGCAAAATGTAAATCTTATAATAATAATTGATCAAAAACATTAGATTATATGCTTATTAAATTCTTAATACGGGATTCTAATTCTGCTGTATGCGAAATTTCCACATTTTTCAAATTAAAGCAAAAACCATAGGCAAACCACATAATAAACAAGCTGCTTGTGTTTGTTATTTATTTTAAATTAGCAGCTTATGTATTAACTTCCAACCACAAAAATAATAATAATAATAATAATAATAATAATAATAATAAAAAATAAAAATAAAAAAAAATTGTATTTATTTATATCTTAAGTGACAGCTGTTGACTACAAATATAATTATACCTTATAAATAAGTAAAACTCTTGTTAAATTAATAATTTCTTTATTACTGAATTAGTTAAAATTCAAAAGGAAAATTTCTGAAAGGATACTGCATTAAATTCAAATCTCATTGAGAAAATATGGTTTCTTGACAAAAATATTACACACACCTGCGTTCCTTTCCCAGCACCTGGTGGTCCCAAGAGTACAGCATTGATACCCTTGTCTCTTGATGTGGAATCAATATCTTCTTTAATATCTAAAAGTGGTGCTGCTACAGGTGCCATTATTTACAACTGAAAAAGGGATAAATATGTCTTAAAGATTAATAAAACCTGAATCAAGTTTTTATAATGTTTAATTACTTATACCTCTTTACTTAAAAAATGATATTACCAATGATGATTTATTTCTAAATCACTACATTTTAGTAACTTTTTAACGTCTACTTGGTACCAATGGCTCCAGGCACACCTGACTTGTACATAATCAGCTGTAGCTTCAACTGAAAGATGTTTAACAGAAAGGTATCCTTAGTTATTTTAAATATTTTGCTTTCATGTTGTCTTTAATAATCTAGATACCAACCTAAACCAACAAATTACTACCAAACTAAAATTGATTCTAATTAATAAACATCTTGCCTTTATAGGGAAACTCAAGTTGTAGTATTGTAAAACAATACTATTCTGTTAAAGAAGTACTACTATGATTTTTTAACCAGTGGCAGATTACCAAAGAAATTGGCCCTGGCAAGTAAAAAAAGTCGGCCTAAGGCCCTCATATGAAATGCCATTATACATATAAGTTACTATTATCATCATCATCAACATAAAAAATAATTTGGTACTATTCAGTTTTGAGGGCCGTAAAAAATCGCCAAACTATTATTGATGCCAGTGCTGCCAAAAATAAGAGTAAATAACTATCTAATATTGATGTTTTAATTTAAATGAAAAGCTAATTTCATATAATACATTTTCTTATTATAATTTATATAAAAAAGGCTAAACATGATTAAATGGAAGCATAAGAGTAAATAACCATTTCAGATCATTATTATAATTTATATAAAAATTGCTAAACATAGCTGAATGGATGCCTGCATCGCTATTTAGCTACCGAGTTATCGCTAAAGCATAATTTCATCTCATTGGTTGTTCAAACATAATTTTCTATAATGAATGATGCCTTTTCTTTGAAAAATTCTCAGTAAAGTGCAGAATCGCCCACTTACTTGTTTGCCGCCTTTTACAAGGGTAAAAAAAAATTGGATTTTTGTCAATTTTCTTTGACTTTCTAAGTGAAAATACGTCGTTGTGTACATAAAGTCAAACGTGTGCGCAGTGTCATTCTTGTGCATTTCTGGGATTTTTTTTTTTTTTTTTTTTTTAAGTGAAAACAGGTCAATATGTACATGGATACAGAGTATGTACAATTCTTGAAAACGCATTAAGCAGTGGATGATTCTGCACTTTACCCAAAATTCTATTGCAGACTTTTTGTCATGGGCAATTCCCAAATTGTTAAATCCATAGGATATCAAAAAAGGATTTAAAAATTAAACTAGTACAGTCAAAAGTCGTTAATCCGGACTCGTCGGGACTTCGGCAATTCCGGATTATCGATTTTTCCGGATTATAGATCATCAGTTTAAATCTCGTAAGATGGCATGCAGAAATTATAAAATTAAAAATATTAACCGTAATTTATTTAAATAAAGAACAATTATGATCTAAAGGGTATCAAAATTTGCAAAAAGAAAAAGCTTAATATTTATTTGTTTACTTAAATAAACATTTCTTTCAATGTAAGTTGTTTAAGTTTGCTTCGTTTCATGTGATAATCCTTTCTCTTTAATTCTATTAAACAGACATAATTTCTTGTTCAGTTACAAAGTTCCGCTGTTCAAGTCCTATAATTGCTGTGTCAAGAACACCGACTAATTTGTCAATCGAAATTTTTTCGTTTTCAATAACCTCTGTTACTTTTCTTCCTTTTTCTTTTCGCTATCGGAAGCGAATTATAATGACGAGGAACTTGTTTTTAAATCATATCAAAGACGGGCATATCGAGATGAAATACTACATTTGGTCGGAATTATAAATTATAAGCCAAATAAAATAAAACATCTGCCCTGAAGATAAGGATAGTGCTGACAAATATCTTCCCAATTCATTACGCGCCCGCCGCGCGGCGTCCCCCCCCCCCCCCCCCAGCAGCGTGAAATTGATAAACAGATTTCGGATTTCAAAAACATACTTTCGCTTTAGATCCTTTATGTATTAACAATATATATCGGAAATTCTATTTGATATAATCGAAAGTTTAAGCTTACTTTTATAAAATTGCTCTTACAGTCTGAAAAAAAAAATAATAAGCCGGATCCAATTCGAAAATTAAGGAACAACGCAATCAATCAACATTAACTGAAATAGATAATTAGATAATTTTAGCTTATACGTCCATTATACATAAAACGCGCATGCGAAAACGTATTCTGCACTTGCGCACACTCATATGCGCAGTCGTAAAAGGTCTTACGCACACGCGTAAACGCCTATGCACATGTGTCAACGTGGCGCATGCGCAGAAAGTTTTTAGTTTTGAGGTCCGGATTATAGATCATTCCGAATTAACGGCTTTTGACTGTACTTCAATGGCATCTTAACATAAATAGAATGATATAAAGTTATGCAATCTGAAATCAGCGCGTACGCTAGATTTGGTGTGCTGTTAAATGGGCGTGTTTGCTAGATTTGGGGCTTATATTTTCGCTGCAATTTTTTTACGGTCCTCAAAACGGAATAGTACCAATAATTTTATAAAATAAAAATATATCTTTGCAGAAAAGTAATACTTTATTTCACATATATAACAATATATAATTATCAACACAAAACAACAGTTAATTCATAATTAGCCATTTAAATATTTTTTAATTCTGGGTGTCTAAGCAAATCTTTCCTCAATTATATATCCAATTTTGGTGAATCTTCGGATTATGGTAACTCAGCGATTTTTTGGCATTATATATTAAACATGTAAATAATTTTTCTCATAAAATAGAATGCACAAAAATGCAGGAAAATTTTGTGAATCTTTGAAGTCGGTAAAAAGGACATGTATGAAATTACCTGATCACTAAAAAGTATATATACTATGCAAGCTTTTATATCTTCAGCTTGCATATACTCTTTCTAAGGATGAACATTTGCACGTGTAAATTAAATAAAATATGCCAGAAATTACATTAATTTTCTTTTCCCTCTAAAATTATCCATTATAAAAGTCACCACAAAATAATCTGTGGCTGGAACTGTGTACTTCTCACATTATTGCTAAAGTCCTAGCTAGTAACCTTTATCGCCTTACCAAAATGTCGCCAAACTACCTGTTACCATATTCCAAAGATTAGCCTTATGATCATATTTTTGAGCAATGGGATAATAAGATATTCTAGCAGAAATAAAGTGTGCACCGAGTTTCAATAAAGATCTGAAAATGCCACCTGGGAGAGCTGAGAAAGAAGAAAAGAGATGGCTTTAACCCGAGTCTAGAGATACATATAATACAGATAGTGCGAGTTAACTGGTGCACTTAACTCATAGAATAAGTTATAAAGTACAGTACAGGTAAAGTAAGTCAAATCAAACAAGATGAGTACTAAGTATGGCCATAGGCCGTTTACAATGATTTAGATCATTTACATCATAATCATAGACCTTATAACACGGTTGTTAATACTTGCAAGGTTAGCATAAAAATTCCGAGCAAGCCTGCAATAAAAATATTTCAGTTCTTCAATGCCTAATTCATCATGAAGTTTTTATTTCGAACATACCAGGTCGAGTTGGTGATATAGGACACAATGCCTGCTGTAACATTTTCCTACATGATTTGCATGAATATGCCCAAAGCAGGCAAGCATAACATAGTATGAGACGCAATACAGTTTTATAAATAAGCAACTTGTTATCTATTGAAAGTACAGTGTTTCGAGAAATTAAGGGGTAAAGAGTAGCTTTACTAACTGGAAACTTTTTAAGAAAAATGTTATGTGTGATATGCTTTTGAGTGAACGTATTACTTGTACGCACTTTCCCTCACGTGCAGGGCTGTCTTTCAGAATCACTTGTGCCAATTCGATCATTCGAGTTCATAGATCGACCCGAAGTCACTCCCACCTGCCGGCCCTATCCGTCACTGTGTTTCACAGTTAAATTGCCAATTTTCACAAATTAGCTTAAATCACATCTTTTAACCATGATCATCCAGAACACACAGAGCTTAAAATAAATAAAGAATCTAAGTTTCCCCTACAATGAAGCCATGAAATGTCATGACAGTTGTGTTGTAGTTGGCCGACTCCTCTTTGGTTTTGTTTACATTTTAACTGGTGCTGTTTATTTGTCAATAATTAATCATTAAGTTTATAAATCTCCCATTCTTCTTTTAATATGTAATCTGAATATTTAGAACATAGAGAACGAATTTGTAAACATCAGCTACATTGCTTGCTGACATTGAGACCTACGTTACATTTTATGTACGCACTGGCTTCACTTCCTGATATGGGCTTACTCCAGTTACCACAATAAACACTCCAAAATAAAGTGGGAGTCTGTTTTTATGCTATTTCATTGTTTGATTTAAAGTGTAGTGTATTGAGATTATATATTTTCTTGTTGGCTGCTCTTTTGACTTAAGTGAATATAGTTCGATGCGTACATGGACAAAGGGGGTGCGCAATGCCTAGTTTGTGCAATTCTCCGATTTTTTTTTAAGTGAAAATAGGTCGATGTGTACATGGATAAAGTCAAGGGTTGCAATGACAAGTTTGTGCAATTCTCCGATGCTTTTTTAAGTGAAAATAGGTCGAAGTGTACATGGATACCGAGTTTGTGCAATTCTTTTTCTTTTTATTTAAGCTTTGTGTAGCGAACACAAGCAAAACAAAAAGTCAAAGAATTGCACAAACTCGGTATTCATGCACCGCCAAAATTCGCCACAGGGTACCCGTAAATATATTTTTACCCAAAGGTATCGGTCATATTTAAATGTAATGCTATCAACGTTCGAGGGATAGAGATATTGCTCAAGAGTCCTTTGACAAGAAGTTGTTACTTCACGGATGGCCATATTTAAAGTCCAACGTACGTCATGAATTTAAAACTATTTTGTAAAACGGTTGACGTCGAAAAGTTTTCCACTCTTATAATCATAGATAAATTTTTATATGGCAATTGAAGTTAAAGATATGAAACAGAAACAAATTTAAATAAAATAACAATCCCAATTGGATTCTGATTTTCATGCACAACTTTTGCTGTAATGGCGAGGAATAATTAATTATAAACGACTTTAAATAAATGAATGAAAGAATAACGACAATCTGCAATGTCACTTAACAATATTTTACGCCAAATCTGCTGTTAAATATATAACTTTAAAAGAGTTACCTGTTCCTGTAAATAAGTTACGTAAAATACAATTACCCGATTCCAGAACCACGTTTTCTCCCTCAGCTCAAAGGTCGATGCAACCGCTATTGCCAATTACAGAAACTAAAAGTCATATCATAAATTAGTAGTTATTTGGAAGAAAAATATCTCACAATCCCATTGCTTTGTATTGACTCGTATTTACGTCACATATCGGGGGGGGGCTATGAAGAAGAGCATGCGCAGGGATTTGTATCTAATTGTACTGAAGTTTAACGATTTAAATTCAAACTATATGCAGTGCCCCAGACAGAAGGACAAAGTTGACCGAGACCACTGAATAGACCATACATAATGGTACATCCAACTCCACAAATTTTATCTAGATCGTACCGGGTGAGAGAGACTTGACACTACCAAGGCACCGTTAAAAGTCTCTGCTGAGCCTGAAAAGACCAAAGTAGAAACGGTTGTCTTATTCCTGTGAAGGCAGCTCTACATATCATTGGTGCTAGGCATATGGGCAGAGCGACTGACCAGCTCAGGGGGTGTCGGGTCCGATTAGCCGCGAGTAAGACAAGGGTAAGCGCGCTATGCTCATGCCTGAAAGCATAATTGCACGCGCCGTAGAGCTAGTGAAACGACCTGGATGGATGGTATTGTGACTAGAGATGCCTCTGAGACGTAACCGGCAGCAGTACGAATAGTTGTCAGTTTTTGAGAAGGGGCGGATATTAGGTCTTAGGGAAGCAGGTTCGTTAAACAGGCGTAGCGATCGCCACCTCAGTCGTTGCAATATGGTTGTAGCTCGATGTTGGCGGCAATGGATTACGGAAGAGATAGTCAGAGTCGTAGCTAGGTTTTCAGCGCTTAGGGACAATTGAAGATTTCGCGCCCGCTACTGCTTGCCAAGGATGGAAAACATTTAATTCTAAAATGTCGTAACATCAGTTTGGCGCCCCTTGGATTCTGCACCCGGGGACAGATGCCCCCTCTAGCTACGCCCCTGAAGATAGTATGGAAATTTCCTGTTATGTTTTTACCACCAATCCTCGAATTCCATATCACAGATTATGTTCTTACTGCATTAATATAATATTAACAAGACATAGTGCACAATAAAAATTAAGCTTTATTTAGGAACTTCGCGCACGCTGCCCGACAGCCTGCCTGTTTCGCTCTGCTCGCTACTCGTAAGAAACTTCTCCTCTAGGGTTGCCACACTTATCGGAGGGCGCAAGGCGCGCTCCTTATCGCCATCACCACAGAGTTTCCCCCCAGTTCCTTCAATGGCTATTCAAAGGAACGACATGGGTTATGAAATTATCTCAGAGTATCCGTGCTGTCGGGTATTTTTTTTATGATTACAAAATTAGAATATAAAATTAGAAAAGATCAAAATGCAATTCAATATATAACAAGGTATTGACACATATAATAAACATGAAATAACAAGAAATATGTTAAGATATGAATTTAAAAAAAATGTTTTAAATTGTTATGTAAGAAGCAAGTTTCTTAGGGAAGTGAACATGTCTTCCCGATCTGGTGACAGTTTGTGTCTTAGAGAGTTCGTTTGCAGATTTATTCGCTGAACTGTCTTTAAGTCTTTATTTGTTTTCAGTTCAGGCAAATTAGAGTCCGAAAAGCAAATAAGCTGATTTCACACGGTCTATAGACACAGTAGAATTTCAGACCGTTAATATCAATTGTGAAAGTTTTGTCCGTTCTAGAAAGGACTTTATGCGGACCTGTATATGGTTGGCACAGAGGTGGGCTTTACTCGATCGACACGTAAGTATACATGCGTACACGACTTTAAGGTAGCACTTTACGTAACACTTTTCTTGGCAATGTGCAGATGTTGCTATTGGATTCAATTGTTGCATTCTATGCCTAAGATTCGTGATAAATTGTGTGTGTCATACGGAGATATCTTAGATGACGTTATCATATCACTAGGCAGCTTGAGAGTTGTGCCGTACACCAGTTCAGCACAAGATGACTGTAGATCTTCCTTTACGGCTGTCCGAATACCAAGCATAACAACTGGTAGTGTTTCAGTCCAGTTATTGGTCTCGTGAGCCTTGAGAGAGATTTTAAATGTCGATGAAATCGTTCAACAATGCCGTTGGACATTGGAATGATAGGCTGTTGTTGTGATTCTGTTCGTACCCAAAATGCGCGTGAAATTCTGCAAAAAAGTTGCGGATCTCATTTGAGAACCTTGGTCTGTTGTTATGATCGATGGGCAGCCAAAACGAGATATCCAACAGTTGAAGATGGCTCTGCAAATGGTTTCCGTTTTCATATCCGGGATGGGAATGGCTTCAGGCCATCTGGAGAATCTATCTATTAGAGTCAAAAGGTACACCTTGCCTTCTGATGGAGGTAACGGTCCAACGATATCCATATGGATTTCCTGAAAAACGTACTCAGGAAGAGAGAATGTGCCCAGTGGTGCTTTAGTATGCCTAGTAATTTTCGATTTTTGGCAAGATTCACAGGATTTCACCCAATTTTTGATATGACGTTTCATATCGGGCCATACATAACGAGAACAATAAGCTTCGTAGTAGCTGCAATTCCTGTATGTGACAGATTTGCAGATGATTAAAGATGAGTCTGCGAAAGGAATTCGGAACAAATGGACGAGGAATGTCCGTTGATATGTCATAAAGAATATTACCATCAAATACTGGCACGGTTTTAAATTCCAGTTTCAAAGATGATGTTTGTTTTTGAGAAGGTCTTGTACCTCTGGATCATGCCGTTGAGCTTCCGAAATTTTTTTAAAATCCAAAATGGATATTTTGTTATGGAATCAATTTCGATTCTTGAAAGAGCATCAGCAACAACATTTTTTTAACCTTGCATATGCCTAATATCAGTAGAGTACTGAGAAATAAAATCTAAATGTCGCATTTTCGAGTGAACATTTATGAGGGTTCTGTTTAAAAGCATATATTAATGGTTTTTGATCCGTATAAATATAAATTTCTGCCCTCTAACATGTGTCGGAATTTCTTAATTTCAGAATGAATTGAAAATAATTCCCTATCGTACGCGAACCATTTCTGTTGACTTTTATTGAGTTTCATAGAGAAAAATGCTATAGGTTCCCATGTTTGTTGAGACAACTGCATAAGTGTGCCGCCTATTGCGACGTCTGAGGCATCTACCCAGATGCTTAGCTGGGCTCCGGGAATAGGGTGTCTCAAAAGGGTAGCCTGAGCAATGGCATTTATGGCAGCAATAAAGGCTTGTTCAGCATTCTCGTTCCAATTTAATTGTGGGGATGAATCCTGAACACGAGAACGAGATTTCGTTTTATTAATATAGCCTTCTAACAATTTTATTAAAGGAGAAAGAATATGTGCTGCTTTAGGTATGAAACGTCTGTAAAAGTTAAACATGCCTAAAAATCGGCGAAGCTGAGTAAGAGTGGTAGGTTGAGGAAAATTTAAAATACATTTGACTTTGTCAGGAAGAGGTTCAATTCCGTTTTCATTAAGTGAAAACCTAAGAAATCAATAGACGTTTGACCAAAGGTGCATTTCGAAACATTTATGCAAAGTCCATATTCCTGAAGTTTGGAAAATAAAGCTTTCAAATGCCTGCAATGTTCCTCAGGATCTTTAGAGGCTATGAGCAAGTCATCGACGAAAGCGTAAACACCTTCTAAATCCCGCGTGACTTCATCTATAAAACGTTGAAAAGTCGCGAATGCATTGCATAAGCCGAATTGCATACGGGTACTTTCGAAAAACCGAATGGTGTGCATATGGCGGTTTTGTGGATGTCGGCTGGGTTAATCGGTATTTGATGGTATGCCTTAATCAGGTCGACATGACTAAAAATTTTAGTACCGTGCAATGCAGCAGTAAAATCGGCTAAGCATGGAATAGGGTATTTGTCTTTTATTGTTTGAGCGTTCAATGCTCGATAATCTCCTACAGGTCTCCATTCCAGACTTCCTTTTTTTGGAACCATGTGAAGTGGGGATGCATAATTGCTGCTCGAAGGTCTCAAATGCCCCAATTGCATCATAGTTTGAAATTCTTGTTTTGCGATTTTTAAGCGATCTGGAGCCACCGCGAGGTTTTGCAACCACAGTGGACCTTTAGTTATGATATAATGAACGGTTTGTTTAACAGGTTGGTTAGGATCTGGTAATCTATTTGAAGGAAATTCTTTAAATTTTGTGATATGGTGTATCACTAACACAGTTTTTACTGAATAAATGCTTGCATTTTTCACGCAACCGACAGTTTTAAACTGCGTTTTTTGAATCTTTGATACATTTGTTTCTGAGATCAGGCACAATTCAAAGAAATGGAGAAATGTGCTCCAAGAATGGGTGTACTAACATTTGCTATAAGAAAAGTCCATGTAAACTGTCGTCTTAATTTGAAATCCAAAGAAAGTGTTTTTTGACCATAAACATGAATAGTAGAAGAATTAGCAGCGAAAAGTGTTTGTTGGGGAGAATTCCGTTTTTGAGAATTATTTGCTGGAAGTAAGGACATGTTAGAGCCGGTATCGACCAAGAATGAAAGGTTTGTTCTACGGTCACGAACGAACAGGCGACGTAAAACTTGAGGCAAAGAATAAGTCGCCTCTATTCTTTGCTGGTTTCGTTTCCCTGCCATGAACAAGGTTTTGTACATTTGTCATCTCTACACTTTTTCCCAAAACGTCTATGATACCAGCAAACAGAATAATCTCTCCTTTTGGAATTGCTTCTTTCCTTATTGCGATCTCCGCGATTTGGCGAGCGACCACGAGAAAGAGAAATGCGATCAATACGTTTGTTTAATTTTTCTATTTGTTTAAATATTTATCCTCAAGAGACTGATCGACTGTGCGAGAAACGGCACAAGTCCCTGGGGTTGGATTACTTCTTAAAATTCTGTCGGCAATTTCTGCAGCCTTTATCTGCAGTTAAATTGGAAACCGCTGCAAAAATAGACTGAACAGTTCGAAGGCAAACGTTGAAGGAATAATTCTAACATTAAGTTATCTGGAACATTTAAAGATTCTGCTTGACGTTTCATATTGCTAAGCAAATCGATAGGTTTTCGAAGAACATAATTCCTCTCCAGATAATAATTGGCGAAATTTCTTGCTGAGAAGATTCTCCTGAACGATTTCATAACTCAGTTTAAGCTCCCACATGGATCAAT